TGTACGATTGTGTTGATTCCTGGAAGAACCAACTAGATTCACCATAGACATAGATTTTGGAACTGACAATATGGATAAACCTTTAGTTATTTTATTAGTTGTTTTCTCTAATTTCTCTTTTGGTAGTCCATCTCTTTTCATAAATTTCTGGAGAGCTTCGCTTTCGCAAAGCATTACATCGCTTAATAAAATGTTTAAGTATCTTTCTAAGGCTTTGCAAGCTTCTTGATTCTTATTCTTTTCACTTGGAGTTATTTACAAAGATCCCCTTTAATATTGCTTAGCCGAGGCATAGTTACTTTCTCAGCTTTGGGAAAAGTTTGTACCAAAGATTGATGCAATTTTTCAAAATCTGCATAACTTCTTGTCATAATCCACCCTGTTGATCCAGGTTGTTCAACTTCAATCATATAACCTAATGATTTTGTAGAATAAATGTATTTATTTGGTGATTCGGAAACATCCGTCATTTTTATACGGACTCCTGTTAAATCCATCATTGGAATTTTTGGTTGGTCTGATATCGATTCACGATCACTTTCAGTTGTATCATCAACCTCATATGATCTTTCTGACGTAGCAGATTTAGTAGATTGGGAAGATTTAGTAGATTTTGCGTCGGAATTGTCAAGGATATTTTCATTCAAATCTTCCAAAGTTTCGTCATAAATATCATTTGACCAAGATCTAGATCGTCTCGGAACTTTTAAATGTTCAGAAGTATTAATTCCTTCAGGAGATAAGACAGAATTGTCCACTGTATTGAACCGTCTAAAAAACTTTTCTGCGACTAAAGCTCCTGATAAAAAACTCGATTTATCTTCAGGTGGAAGTATATCTTTCTGCACGGGTTTATGTTCGATCAAAAAGCTCATATCTTCTCCCTGAGTTTTCATATATTGTATAAAATCATCGAAATAATCTCTTTCCAAAGTGTCAAAAACATATTCCTCTACCATTGCGAAACAATGGCTTGATGGTGATTTTGATATCTCACTCGCACATTGTCTAATCAATCCTTCTTCGACAACGTTTACGGGATAAGTCGCGGTTTCACCGAAATAAGTTTTGAATATTCCTAAAGCATCTTCTTGAATCAATTTAATATTAACTTCATCAGTTGCAATTTTCCGGAATGAATCGGCCTGAAGCCAAAATCTTAATAAGTTAGCCTTTTTCCTTTCTTCAAGAAAAGCCATAAACTCTGCAAAAACTTCCGGTTTATTTAGAATTTTTTGTAAATAAGTTGATTTATTGGAACTTAAAGTAGGACGGTTAAGAGCATCCGGCAAAGAAACATTTTCCGTTATTTTCGTAACAAATTCTGTTGGTTCATCATTAATTTCGGTTTTAGAATCCATGAACGAATTTAATTGCGATGATGTAGGTGATTCAATCAACGATTGATTCGTTTGAATTTTTGATGAACCATTACTCAAATTAGGTGATCGATTTTCAATTGGAACCTCATGAGGTATTGCGGGTGTAAGATCTATAAAGTCTGAAGAATCAGAAGGGTGCTTTAATTTCTCAGCTAATTCAGCAGCTTCTATCGAATTTGCCAACTCATGAAACAAATTAGCATCGTCGTCATCAATTGCATCTATTGGAGATATATCAGTTAAATATTCAACAATAGTACAATTAATCCAATCAGGATCGCAAACAGTATCGAGCGTTGTTTGGAATATTTGATTTGCCAAAAGTTCAGATAAAAAAGCCATTAAAATACAACTATGTACTTCTGATGAAGGTAATAGTCTTGCAAGCACCAAATGAGATACCGAGCGAAGTATTTGTGCTTGAGATTTTCTGTCGGTTGACTGGGTAAGTACAGAAGATTCATTTTGTCTACAATAATCACTCAAAGATTTATTTGTTGCTATAAATTTTCTATATTCTCGCTGGAGGAAAAAACCATGATTAATAAAATATTATCAAATTAATCTCCGACCATCACAAAAAAGATGATTACATACCAAATGAACAATAAATGTATTTGAGATTGCGAAACTCGACATTATACCTAATTCTACTTTATCTAAGTTTTGGAAACATAAAGCTAAATTCATTGCCATTACATTCATAGAGTTTTGGACTTGAATTGAAAATTCTGTATCCTTGTTAGGATTCATTGGATCATAATAAAATTCTATGATATCACGTGTAATATATTTAAATGCTTTATTTAAAGCCTTATCAATTTTTGGTGTGATTGTAAGATCTGTCGATTTTACTTTTTCCGCTGATTTTAGTAACTTTAGGGTGAAAAGAAAAGAAAAAATTTAACTAGATGATAATGTATCAATAATTTAAATACAATGCTTTTTAAATGGAAAAAAATGAATTACCTCAACTGAGCTTAAACTTCTTGACATATTTGTATCTTTCACCATCACAATTTTTTCTTTTACTTCGTTTGTCACTGTGTTTGCTCTAAGAAAATAACCAAATGCTACTCCTAGGCTAAGCAATATTAAAGGTGATCTTTGTAAATAACTCCAAGTGAAAAGAATAAGTAAATATAATACAAAAAGCATTCTGGGCGTCGATGAAAAAATGTATTTGAATAATTCCACTGGGCCCGTATCAGATGGCGTCATTGGTTGTATCCCATTTTCAGAAATTATTGTTGTTTTCTTTTGTCGAATCGAGGTTAATGGTTGTGTTTTTGTTTCATTAGACTGTTCTTGTGATGAAGAGTCATTTTCATGATTAATCTGTTCAGGCTTTTTCTGTAAATTATTTACTTCTATCATTGTATTAAATTCACATTCCTGGTGATTTACAACCTTCGAGGTTTGTTCAACATGAACTGATGGCGTCTCCGATATCATCTTGTATATTTTGGCTTAAATTAATCTACTTTATTATTATTAATTAAATCTGATATATTACAAGTCTATGTATGGATAAATTATGAAATTTTGAGATTTGGTGATAATAGGAAAAATCAGAGAACTAAACAATAAAAAGATTGTAAGTTTCACATTTGTAAAATTTTTGTATTTTCAAGAGATCCTGACAAATAATTTTAGAAAAATGCTGGTTTGATAATGATGTGAAATTAAAGTTTTCGTTTACAAGTTACGCGAGAAATTGTCTAAAACAGATATATATTATTATTCCTCGCGTATCCAGGTCAGTTTAATGCACATCTGATCTAATGTTTATCTGAGAATGTCTCGACACTTACCAGTTTGTCTTTGATCAAAGTATACCCTTCAAAATGAAAATCGGATAGATATTTCTTTTGTAATTGTTGAGATATTCGATTATATATAAAAGTAAGTAAGAAACAGTATCATACCTCATATACCGAAAAACAATTTATTAAAATACTTTTATTTGTCGACCGTAAACTGTGAAGGTTGACTAATTTTTTGTTTTAGCAATGTTGAAACAAAACCTTTTTGTGATAGTCATTTAATATATACTTAATCGCTTCGTAACTCAAAAAGGCTTCGCTACAACAAGTTTTAAAATAAAATATTATTAGCATGGTTAAAGTTTAAATATTATGGCTTTTACGCATCATAAGGTATTACAACCAAATAGATTGGTCATTAATTTAGTTGGGGTTACACGGCTAAAAATTGAAGGTACCCTAAATTTAGCTACATTATTATTTTTAAAAAACGTGAAATTTTATTACATCTGTATTCAAAATGATGCCAATTTGTATTTAAGATAGACAGCTAATTTAATCGTCATTTATTTATGAGATGATTTACCAGAATGATTTTACAATGACTAAATATCTAACCAATTTTAATGTTAGTAAAAAGGCTAATTTTTTCTAAAGTCCGAATTAACAGAATATTTATTAATGAAGATAATTTTATCTAAATGATGATAAAATAATATATCATAATGAGAATTTTAAAATAAACCTAATATAATGTTTTACATTTAAAAATCTTGAAAAGAGATTTAATAATTTTTGAATTTAAGAAAAATAAATAAAATAAAAAATATAGACTATTATATATCTTAATATATATTAAATAAAAATTTATCTGATTTATTTAATTTAATATATTTTAAATTAATAATCATTAAATTAAAATTTTATATAAAATAAAATAAGATATATTTAAAAAAAAAAAAATTGATAAAAAGTAAGTTATAATAAAAAATATTATTTTAATATAATAATTTATTATTATTAATATAAAACTTCATTATTTATATTTTAATTTAATTCTTATATAATAAAAACCAAATAAATATAATTTTATTTATTAATCACTTTCAATTATTTTTATTATTCTTATATATTTTATCATAGTGACAGTATTGGAAATTAAACAATTTTGAATAGTTTTAGATAGGTTATGAACATGTTTTTCTATGTTAAAACTTTGTTTAAAATATTTAATATCAAAAAATATATCTAAAATCTAATACTAATAGTGAGATACTACTCTATAATATAATTATAATACAGTCAACTCCCATTATAGTCACTTTCGTTATAGTCACATTATTCTATATAATCACTCTAGTTAGATGTCCTGAAT